GCAGACAACTCGGAAACCCTTCTAGCCAAGGTAATAGACAAGAAAATAAACTTTTTTGGATAACAAAGAAAAAGAAATGTCTTGGATAGGCTCAAAAGGATGTTTTTCTAGAACAGCTTAAACCAAGTTCAAATTCCACAGAGGAAGAGGAAACCTAAATAGGAGGAGCCACACATGGAACTCCCTAAATAAAAATACTAATCAAGGAATTAAAAGCAAGATGACATTGAAAAAGGGCCAACAAGGCAGATATCTGACCCTTTATGTTACTTGAAATTAAACGTTGGTCTACCCCAACTGTAAGGGGTATAAGGATCCTCTTATGATACTGAAAGGCTAATTATTTTAGAGGGGGTAGGGGGAAAAAATAAAGACAGTACTGCTGGATTATCTTTAGATCTTTATTCACCAGAGCAAAGAAACAGCTGTTTTGATCAAAAATCTTATTCAAACTTCAAGTTGTATTCAGCTAGTTGTACAGATCTCTTGACCAACACAAAGTCTAAAAGAAGCAGTCTTTATGCTAATAGGAACTACACTTTAAAACAGTAAGCTGTTACTGAACATGAGCAGACTGTAACAATGAAATATCCGGAGTCTCACACTACAGAGAGTCAACAGGTTAAACGTACACTGATTCAATTATCTCTTGCATAATACTTGCATGGCAAAGCAATGCATTCAGCCAGGTGTCTTTTTCTCTCTCCCTCAAGGAGCAAGGAGAGCATGCTCTGTGTAAGCCAAAGTTGTAACATGCACCGTTCCCAGGTAAATTAAATCTCTCTGTGCACCCATAATATAGGCAGTTCTTTGTAGTCAAATGTTAAATTATTGACCAAGCTTCAGTCTTTTTAGCAGGGTGTTTCCAAGCAATGATGTCCCAATATGCCACGTTACATTACCATAGCTGAGTTCTTGACACCGAAGTGTCAAAAATATAGGAATCCATTGATTATTTTCCACAACTTTCACCCAATTGTTGACTCGTGGGTGATGGTGTGAATATTGGGTAAAAAATGAGAGACCCATAGTTTTCTTTGAATTACTGCTACATGCGCACCCAGTCACGTTCTCCCTACAACAGCAAATCATCACTGACATTGTTAATTGTTTAGGCTATACACTGAAGTTAAACATGAAGCTTGCATTTATAGTGCACCTGTGCCCATATTATGGGCATTTAATTATTTACAGTCTTAGCAGTAAAAGAGCTTTAAAATGCCATACCTGACCTCTCTAGCTGCTTGTAATGCGAAGTAATCCATTCTTACACACCTTCAAAGACCACAACACTCTAGCTAGAAGCACCTTCTGTGTTCACATTAGACGATGATTCCTATGCAACTGAAATAGAAATAAAACAATTCTGTGCCTGTCAAACTTTTGAATATGAATTTCTCCATGATGCCTATAGCTACAAAAGGTCAATAAGGGCTTGTTTTAAAACTTGAACAGCTATGTCCAGAATATTTATAAACATTAGTGTGCATTGATTGGGCACAGGTTCACTTTAATGTAAAACTTGGGAAATTATGGAAACAGAGGCTTTCATGGCCGACCACATCTAATGTTGCTAGTTGTTATGATGGCCCTCTTGCTTTAATATTTGAGTTACTAACCTGAACTGCATACACAGATAAGGAATTCTTATTTTCCTGAGCTGTAAATTTCAGCATCAACAACTCCGAAATGATTAAAACCACTGGATCATTATGACTGCAAGGAACTGGCATCTTAGGATATAGGTCGGGAATACAAGTCCCTGTATTTTTCTCATGACAGTTGACATTTAATAGCAAAGAACGCCACCTATTTGCTCAGACACTGAAATGTAAATTCTGGCATTCATCTTTAACACCTGGCTGCCCTAGAAGCTAAAATATATGGTTGCCAGTACTCTGCATGGCAGAAATCTAGACTTGCAAAATGCTGGACAGTCAGATAACCGGTTCCAGTACCACCCTCTCCCTACATCTACTACACCCTGTAGTATGTGAAAGTTGCATATTACAGTATGATGTAACAAGAGCCAGCGGTCCATCACAAATGCACTGAGAAAAGCTTAAACAGGTCGCATCTGGTGTATTTTGTACCCCATCATCTTCTCATACTTCTTGAGGATGGCAGCAGTAAGAGCTCACTGCCACAGTTCTTGGCTCTCTTCCTGCCAACCTTTCCAGTGAAAGCTCCAATCTTGTAAAGGCCCCAGCATGTGTACAGACTTGAGAATTCTTGAGAGCAGTGAAGTTGGCAAAACATATTAGTAATGGGACGGTTTACCAGTTGACGAAAAGTTTTTAAAAATTCCACTTTGTGACCGAAAGTAGCATTAAAGGTCAGGATGTTTTTTTTAACTTATTGTATTCTCTGCATTGGGGTAAAAGCCACACATTACCTTTGTCTCTCCTCAGTTCCCTGTTCTTCCTGGTTGCGGGGGGAGGATACTGATGGCAGAGGAGCCAATGGCTCCTTTTGCCATTAAACTGTTGGGCGGAGAGGAGGGAATTGGCCTGCCATAGGGCTGTGTGTGTCTATGTGTGTGTCTATGGATGCACACAGCCACTGCGGGAACACGCACGCACAGATGCCTCCACAGCAGCCGCTTAGCTGATGGCGGCACCCGTGCACGGGGTGGGGAGAGTGCTGCGGGGACCCACAAGAGAACTAGGAAGAGAAACCTTTTTGAAGAAGAGCATACATTTCATGCAAAGGTGGGCCCCCTATTGATCATGCAAAAAAAAAAAACCTTTACTATTATTTTAATGTATGTCTAAAGCCACAACATGTCCCGCTATTTTGGATAGAGTAGTAAATTATTTTGGGCCAAATGTGTTCCATTGAAAAGATCATCTGCACTTTTCTTGTCTTTTTGTCTTAAAGTAAGGGAATCTCCCCTCTTAGATAGTTGTTAACATTGGACGATTTCCCTTTCATTCCTATTCTGGTGAGAACTCAAAATGATGGATTTTTTTTTTATTTGAATTTTTTACTTATTGGTCCCAATAGGGAATTAAATCTTCTTAATGTTGGCAGAGAGGCGTACATATCCGACAGGGGTTCTAACCTTGGAATACCCAATCCAAGAATTATGTCTATTTAGAGCTAGTGGTGAAGATTTCTGCACCAATTATGTGAGAGTCAGCATCCGCTGGGGAGGCTGGGTGGTTGTATAACAAGGATAGCTGATATTAAAGCAGAGTCAGATAGCATTTTAGTCATCTGGATTTGTTTCTTTAAAAGGTTATATGTAAAGTGAAAATATGTGCATTGCCAACATTTGCTTCCAAAAACAATAGTTACAGGATTGCCATGCCAAATAATATATTCAGTACTTAAGAGTCTTTATTCTGACATAACAATCCAGTGTTCGATGATATTACTTGCTGCACCTATTCATCATCAGTGTCTTAAAGAATTGAAACCAGAAAGTCAGGCATTTTCAGAAATAGCTGCAGTCATATCTCTCAGAGGTTTCCCTTATTGTAAAATGTACAGAAGATCATAGAGTCTGCTCTTGGTATAATTACCTGCTTCTTTTATTATAAAGTATTGGTGTAAAAACTGTCACAAGCACACAACTATCAAGACATGAGATCCCTTATACTGGAGTTCTTTAATAATTCTTAGACATAATGACAACTGATCTATAAACTATTGAACGGCGTATTTCAGTAAACAATTATATATAAAAACAGATTTTATGCAAAATAGCGGCAGATCTCTGAAGTTCCTGAGAGATATTACCTTTCTTTTTACATATTTGGTCTATTTATGCATACAACAGACACCCTGTACTGCATACGTGAATGTCTATCTGCCCTACAGACAGCCTGTTGTACCATGCAAGAATGATGTGTTCCACGTTACCTATTAGCAAAACATAATATCATGTTTTTCAGATGTTAAGTCATTCCCATATAAAAATAAGAATACTCAAACAAAATCAGAATCTTGGGAAATAAAAACAATGATTCCATATTTAAGTTTAACAGAAAGATAAAAATTATATTGTACGGTTACAGTTCACTTTCTATTAAACAGCAATATATCAGTTATTGGATCTGACACTCCACTATCTTGGAATGAAGTCTTGAAGATTTTGAAGGCTTGATAAAATATGGTTTGTTTGTGCATAGAACAGATGTGCTAATAAATGAAAAGGAAAAAAAAAATACTACAAATACAAAAGAATTAATAACTAAACATGTACAATAGCGAAGCAAATG